AACGCACGATCCCTTGTCACTGTCGGCCAAACTTTTCCTCTTGCCTTCAAGAAATTCCGCTTTTGTCTTCTTCTTAGGTCCTGGCTTCGATTTTTTTCGCTGTTCAAGGACTTTCTCATCTTCTTTAGCATGTTCATGACCTCAACACCATAACGAGTGATAGATAGGATGGAAGAGCGAATTGATTCGAGAACCAATCGAGTGTAAACAAGAAAATGGTAATCAGGCCCTTGTTGTAAGATCTCTAGGATGAAGCCGCTTCCCGTAAAAAGTCGACGCGCTATGAGGATTATGGCACCTATACTCTCTCTTTTTGAATAAATAAAAAATAAGATAATATAAGAAAGCATTTTATAGCAATGTCGAGGCTGAAATTTGCGAAATTTTACGAATATTTTAAGAATAAACCGAGGCTGGGATTTTGAAAATAATATATTTAATACAATACAATTATATCAAGGCTTCGTAGCAGCGCGAAGTAAGATATGGTTTTAATGAACCACACTATGTTTTTGAAGTTCATTATTTAATGAAAACGATACATCTTTCGGATGAGACATCATCCATCGTCAGTTGTACAGTGAAAAAATATAAAAAGAATATGCAATAAATAGTATAACAGGAATAATTAAGGATGAGGGCACGAACCAAAACAAAGTAAAACTATTTAGGCTAAGAAAGGAGACTAATTAGTATGAAAGGGATAGAAGTTTATCATTTAGGTGTTTATTATAGGTGTTTAACCACATTTCCAAACACCTCGAAGTGCGTCAAAGGTAATCCGCTACGCGTCTTATTTTCAACTCTCTTCTGGGTGTTTGGAAATGTGGTAAAACACACGGTCTTGAGTGTTTGATATATTTCATACAAAACCTTTTAAATTATTTAGTACACTATTATAAGATCTATTGAATGCACGTAATATGCGATTAGACTGCTTCTGGAGCAATTTTAATTTTCATGTTGATGGTGAATTATGAGTGCCGAAAAATTTAAATTTAGCTGGCATAATATGTTAGAGCTTGTTAGGTGAAATAATTTGAATTCCTTGCATGTAGTAGTATAAGCTACACCCTTGCGTGAGCTCTTACATCTTACCTGTTTAGAACTTGTGCTATCAACTTTTTCTTTCTCGTTGTTTTTTGTTTCCGTACGTGGTAAGATCTAAAAGTCAAAGTGAAATTAAAAGAATTAGCCTAAGGTAAGGCACTCAGTTCCAAATCTTTCTGGGGTTTTTTTTTAAGAGTGGTTTAGAAAAGTTCTTCAAGTGTTATCTAAAATATGTTGTTGGTCAAATAGTTTAACCAAAGTTGCCAACCTAGTCAGTCTGTTTCAACCAAGAGATATCACTCTTGCAATGACAAAAACTATTTCAACAGGTTAAAAGAAGTAGGAGCACACTAATACTGAATTACTGTAGTTCTTACCGGAGTAAGGGCTTTCAGTCTTTTTCTCAAGTTATACCGCTCGCTTATCTCACAACCTTCTTCAGTCCACATCAGTTCCCTTTTGGAAGACGCACTCATGCACTTTGCTGCCATTGTCGAGCTATGATGTGGAAAGGCACTGTGTAACAAAATCTTCAATTTAGTCGTGTTTCTTTATCTGTGATCTTTAATCTTTAATATTTAATGAACTTGGTTAATTTTGTCTGTCTTTTCACCTGCTTTATCATATACATATACATAAAGGTAATTAGAGGGACACTCGTAAGACTAATCTACTGAAGCATTCCGTTTGTTAACTGCAATTGACGGAGTGTAAATGGACGAGCAGAACATAAGAGATCTTGCAAAAGGAGTAAAAAACGTCGAAAAGCGTTTAGACCGCGATGTTGCAGAGATGTGCACGCTTCTAGAAGCGCTTGCCGAGCAAATCTTTGAAAATCGTCCAGAGCTACCGAGGCAAGACGCAGGCTTGCTGAGAAAGCATTTCCATGATATCTACAAGAGCTTGAAATTACACTTGGTGTTTCACTCAGGCGCTGATTTTTCCGACTATAATGCCCGAGGAAAGCTTGAAGACCTGGGCCGTGCGATCAGGCTGAACGATGAGGAATTAGAAAGGCAGCCAGACGAAAACCTCGCCCTGGAATATTGTGCAGACCCTTGGAGCAAACTCCTGGAAATTGTAAGTACGCATTTTCGAATGGTATATAACATTTTCCTCACGTACAGATTTGGAGGGAAGTTACTTGTATAGCGGTAACTCTCCTATACCAGCAACAGGTATGAGGATTCTATAACACACTTAACTTCCAATTCACACAGGCCGAGACAGACTGACAGCGCATTACAGTGAGCAGCAGTCAGAATTTAAAACTCTGGACAGTTGACAATAAAACCTTTTCTTAATCATTAAAGTTTTCGAAACACTATAGCTTGATAACACGGGTTTGATGGCTTAGCTGAGACCCCAGCGCAATTGAAACTCAACTCAACTCGAACACGATATGGGTTATTTTTAAGGAAGAGAAAATTGAATTAATAAAATATGCCTG